CACAAGAAGCGCCTGAACCAACCGCCCAGGTGGTCGCCAGCTGGAAAAAAAGGGCAGAGCGAGCGCACTGGAGACCCAGAGGCTCCCAGCCCGCTGGGCGGCTGCATATGCAGCAAGTCCAGCCCCAAGCCACGTGCAGGAAACGGGACATCATCGCCCAAGGGAGGGTGGGAGGTAACAGTAGCGACAGGATGTGTGCCCTGAACGCCTCTGGTGAAAGGCATAAGAGATGGGACTGTAATCAGTTCAGTAATGGGAACTGGACTCGTGTAAAAAAGCAGATGGATCCCGAGGGGTGAATATGTAGGAGCTGCTTGAAGTAGCCACAGGAAAGGAACACCCAGCGTAGAAACTCAGTGTATCTTTCTGTCAGGCGATAACATCTGAACTTACTGCTTCCATCTCGGCTTACTTTCCGAGACTCTGGTCTCAATGACTAATCCTCTAGGAGTGGCACTTGGCAGCATCCCTTCCGCAGGTTGTGAATTTGCAAATGCTAGTGAGGAGCGTCCAACTTCCCCAGCAAATAACTCTGAGAGAGACCTGCCTGCTTTGGCATGACTTACTGAAGCAGAGGTGCTTCAAAACAAATCAGTCAGTATTCCTTTCCAAACTGGGGTGTGTGTGTGTAAACCCACTGACTATTGACTAATATAACCAGAGACTGACTGCAAGCTTTCTTTGGTAGCCTACCACTGAACTCCCTGCCTGTTATCCACTGACTTGCTAAACGCCTATCACTCCCAGCCTTCACCAGCGGGGAACTGTCGCTTCATTCTCACGTAAATAAACCACTGGAAACAAATAAGTCTCTCCCTTCCCCACCCCCTGCCCGCAATAAGGGGAGGAGAGCAGCAGCAGCCCAATGGCTCCGTGCTACTTGTCAATGCGTGTGTTCAGTTACTGGATGCCGGAGAACCCAATGGATTCAGCCCCCCTCCACCTTTTCTGCCTCTCCCTAGAGCTTCTGAGAGACAGAGAAAGGAAGTTAGCAAGGAAGGAAAGGGAATACAAAAGAGACAGGAGATAGACCTTGAAGAGAAATAGGAGATAAATTCAGCCCTGGATATTTCTCATCTTTTTAGGAGAGACGTAATTTCTCATCTTCCCACAGATATTAGCACTTTGCAGATGCCAATGGTTAGAAAACTCACTGGATTATTATTTCCCCTAGGAACTTGCATTTTTGAAGTTATTAGACTTGCATTTTAATAGCAAAATAAATAATTAAATAAAAAATTTAAAAAATCCTGGATCCCATAGGCATTTTATGTGTTTTAATGATCTATTCATGTCATCATTCAGTCTCAAACTATTCTTCAGAGAACAATATTTTTATAGAAAACCAAGTAATATTTTGCCAAGACAATTATTGTGGAAAGATGGGAAGCACCGTTTGCAAAACAATGTAGGGTCTCGATTTTTCTTTGTAGATTATTAATTGTATATACTGTGTAGATTTAAAATACAAGTTATTCCTTTTGTGAAATAAGTCACCAATTACAGTCATCTAGCTAAAATGAAAATTCACTTTTTCTTCAACTGGGATAGAAAGTCAAATGATGCAAGAGGCTTTTCATTATTATTTAATTCAGATGATAAACTAAAAAGTGTTCCTGGATTCAAAGACTATGTAGCTACACGCTTACAATGAGCAATAAAATAATCATATTAGCTAATATTCATTAGATTTGATTACTTTGCCGTTAAAACAGCCTTTCTCTGGCGTTCTCGTGCCTTATTTTTTGTGCAAAGATCAGAAATAATGTATTTGTAATAATAGGAAATTACCTATTCTTAGCAGCAGCATAGATCGATTTGAGCCGGTTTAATTGGGACAATGGTTTTCAGCTGCTGAACCACAATATATTTTCACCCGAAAGGATATAACTTTGATAATTTTTTTCACATCTTAGCTCATAGAATGAACTGCACTACCGTTTGGGAAACATGATGGAAATCCCTATCCTGAGTTTCAAGGAACCGGGATTGGGTAGGGAGATAGAGGTGTGAATTGCAGGGATACTGACGTGATGTTAAAACCAAGAGAGAGCGAGAGAGAGAGGTGAAGCTCTGAGTAGGTATAAACATAAATAGCCTCAGGCTGAAAAACATTTCACCTCTAGGTCTTTGAGCAGAGAGGAACCCCTTCAGCAAATTGTTTGGATCCACCTGTTGGCTTTAACCACTTTAAATGTTATTCCTTCACCGGGTTGCTGTGATATTATCTTTCCATCATCTAAATAAATAACGTTAAGAGCAAATGCAACAAACGCCCCCACAATGGCTTCACTGCCCTTTGCACAGCTTTAAAAAGGACGCTGAATAGTTAATTCCAAGTGGGATTTTGGTTTCGCAATATACACGATTGTTAACTTTATTCAAACGATTTCGTTTCTGTCCCACACCAAAAACATACCTCAAAATGTTACTCTTTCATCTAGAGGCCATGGTGGGTACGACAATAAATAACAAATAAACAAGTCATCTGAAATTCATTCCTGTCCTGCACTTGAGTATGTAAAACACAAACACAAATTACTTTTCCTGGATTGTATCCAAAATTAAACCAGTCAGAAAACTGATCTTTCTGCTTCTATAAAACTGTTTTTCCTAAAACTGTTTGCGCGTGCCAGTTACTAGTTTCACAAAGGCAATTTTTGTACCCAAAGTAGAGAACCACAGTGCTGCTGCTCTCAGATGTGTAATTTAACACACATTAGTTATTGCATCACTTCACAGTAATGTAAGAGCGTAGCTATTGCAAAATATATTAGATGCAATACATTCGGGATTAAATAATCCCAATAAAATAAATAATAATAATCTCACTTCAGAACCGTGAGCATTAAACGTACACAGTATCCTGTTCAATTTATAAATCACCGAAAGATAGGCTTTTTGGACACAACAGTACAATGGTTAGTGGAAATGAATGTGAAATACGTGGAAATCGTTTTAACTGCAGGTAAAATCGTGGGCAACACTGGATGACCTGGGTTCTATGTATATGCGTTAAAATGCTATTCTTTCTAGTCAAGCAAGTGAGAGATTTTGAAGACACAAAATGTCGAAACTACATCGAAACTAATGAATAGGACAGTGCCACTGAGACGATTAATTCGTCAGTATTTGGGGGAAATGTAGAATTGGACAGGAGCAGGTGAAAGGATTCCAGAAAATCAAACACAACAGGCAAAACTGAATAGTATAGTCACCATTAAAGGACTTATGTTTATTACAAAAGTAGAACAGCTACATCTGAGTATGAACTGGGGGAAAGGTAAGAACATATCAACTATTTTTCCTTTTCCATCACTTGTTTTAATTACCAGTTGATTCATTATTCGAGAGAAAATGTTTGACTTAAAATACTACCAAGCAAATCACGCTCCCTTAACACCTTCACGTCTCTTCTACCTGTTGTGGTTTCGAGAGCAATCAATCACTGTAAAAAGTGAGGAAATCAATGGAGCCAAAAGGGTCTTGTGACTCATCTTCAGAGTGAAAGTTTGTCACAAACCCAAGGGAGTATGGAACTCATCTCTCACAAAATACACGTACTCAATACCATTTTTCCTTAAGTTCCCAGACGTCTGCCCTTGAGCTTGTTCCTATCAACTGACCCACTATTAACTGCAATGAGATTGTAGAGGTAAAAAGCAGCAGGCTAAAAAAAGGGGGTGTAGGATTGGATTTCAGTCCAATCAGTATCTTTAACGGCTGTCATTGTTCAACGCACAAGAAACTATTCATTTCCATTAACAATTTTCAAAAGTAAGAAAAATTATCCTCCTCAGTCTTAAATCCACTTTAAATGTTAATCCAAACATTTATTTACAGCACAATTATTACTTCAGCCATTTAAACAGAGTTGGTTTCAGCAGAAATTAAGTCCTTATAGTCGAACCGTTAAACAATTTTGAACACACTTATTTTTCTCTTGTCAACAACACACCTGTTATGCCACTGATTCCGCAGTCTGAAATATCTTTCATACAAAAGTATGCTCGCTCGAGCTCTCTCTCAGAAAAAGGGGCTTAGCCTATCACACCCCAGCAGGTCTGTAAAGATTACCTGAACAAGCCGGTTAGAGACAAGTACAAAGACATCTGTCTGTGTTTATAAACAGCACAGGCAGCGGGCGCTTTCTTTGCAGACTGACAGAGGAAAGCCCTTCGTGGCTGATTAATAAAAAGGAGCTTTGCAGGACTCGTCAAAAGCTTGTCAAATGGAAGAATGGAATCCCTTCAGAAACGTTTGGTCAGGCAGCTGCCTGTAAGGAGGCTGGTGTCGGTGAGGAGTGGGTCTCTCTCTCTTTCCCCCATCCCCTTTCCCCCATCCCCCTTCTCCCCTTTATCCTGCCTGGTGTGAAGATGGGGGTGGGTGGGTAACACCGATCTTCTTTTGCCATGGAGAGCAGCAAGTGAGCTCTGAGCACGTATATACGTGTGGAAGTTGTCTATATCCAGATATATCTGAAGAAGGTAAATGTGTAAGAAGGGGAGGAAGGGTGTTTGAGAGGCGAGGAACATTTATCTGTGTATATCTGAGCAGAGGCGGGTGAGAGTGCGTGCAGAGGAATCATCTATATCTAGGTGTATGTGAAAAGTTGTGTCCTCCGAGACAGTACATCTGCACATAGGACTAGGCAAATGTGTTGAGAGAAATATATAGGTATGAATGCACGACCTGTATAGGAATTCGTGTGTGTATTTAATGTGTGCATTCGCAGGCCGGTGTACGTGATCTCTACTCTGTGTATGAGAGAGGGAGAAAGGCTGTGGCATGCGTGGAGAGCGATAGGTACTTGCGTGTGGGAGAGAGTGTGGGCGAGTGTGTGTGGCCAGTCCCAAAGCCGGAACCCTTGGGGCTGCTGCTGCTCCAGGGTTCCCCCTCCCTTCCTCATTCACAGCCCGGCTCTCCCTTCTCATTGGCCGTCCGGCCTAGTCAGGGCGGAGCTCCGCAGCCGGAGGAGAAAAAAAACAGTAAGTGCGTAAAAAAGTCCTCGCCTTGGTGACGGATGCTCAAAAGTTCAGAAGTTTTTCCAATGCTTCCCAAAGCTGCCCGCGACCGAAAAAGAGACTGAAAAAAAAACCCCACCAAAAACAAGTTGACATCGGTGGACCGGGAAGGTGGATATTTGTAAATTCCCCTTAGAAAGAAACAACCACTGTTGTCCCCTCCTGGGCAGAGACAACTTGTTGCCGATCGCGGTGGAACCAGGCGCTGGGAGCCGCTCGGCCCAGGGCGTTTAATTTGGCATTTGGAAGTGGCTTTCTCCGCGGCGAGTACTGGTGTGGAGTGCGGGGCTTTTGCTGGTGCCTTTTACCGGCCGAAGAAGAGGAGGCTTTTTTTTTCCCCTCCGCGTTTGTGCGAGGCCGGGGGGTGACTGATCGCCGGCTGGAACTCGGTCTGGAGGGGCTGGGGGGGGAGGGAGGGAGGGAAAGTTGTTTGGTCCGGCGGGGAGGGTGGGGGAAACTGACGGGAGGACATGCAGGCTCGCTACTCTGTGTCCAGTCCCAACTCCCTGGGAGTCGTGCCTTACCTCGGCGGGGAGCAGAGCTATTACCGGGCCGCTGCGGGAGGGGGCTACACCGCCATGCCGGCCCCTATGAGCATGTATTCGCACCCGGCCCACGAGCAGTACCCGGCCGGCATGGCCAGAGCCTACGGACCTTACACCCCGCAGCCGCAGCCCAAGGATATGGTGAAGCCCCCCTACAGCTACATCGCCCTCATCACCATGGCCATCCAGAACGCGCCGGACAAGAAGATCACCCTGAACGGGATCTACCAGTTCATCATGGAGCGCTTCCCCTTCTACCGGGACAACAAGCAGGGCTGGCAGAACAGCATCCGCCACAACCTCTCGCTCAACGAGTGCTTCGTCAAGGTGCCCCGGGACGACAAGAAGCCCGGCAAGGGCAGCTACTGGACGCTGGACCCGGACTCCTACAACATGTTCGAGAACGGCAGCTTCCTGCGGCGGAGGCGGCGCTTCAAGAAGAAAGACGCCGTCAAGGACAAGGAGGAGAAGGACCGGCTGCACCTCAAGGAGCAGCCCCAGCCCCGGCAGCACCCGCAGGCCGAGCAGGAGAGCGGCGGGGCTGGGGGCGCGGCGGGGAGCGGGGCCGGCTCGCAGCAGCCGCCGCCGGTCCGCATCCAGGACATTAAGACCGAGAACGGCACCTCGTCTCCCCCGCAGGCCGTCTCGCCTCCCGGCGGGGGAGCGGCTGCCCTCAGCAGCGCCGTGCCCAAGATCGAGAGTCCGGACAGCAGCAGCAGCCTGTCCAGCGGCAGCAGCCCCCACAGCAGCCTCCCCTCCAGCCGCTCGCTCAGTCTGGAGGCGCCCGACCCGCAGCACCAGCCCCACCACAGCCAAGGCTTCAGCGTGGACAACATCATGACCTCCCTGCGGGGCTCGCCTCAGGGCGCCAGCGAGCTCAGCTCCAGCCTCCTCGCCGCCTCCGCCGCCTCCTCCTCCGCCACCTCGTCCCGGACCGGCATCCCCCCCTCGGTGGCCCTCGGCAGCTACTCCCCGGGCCAGAGCTCCCTCTACAGCTCCCCCTGCAGCCAGGGCGCCAACCCGGGCAGCGGGGCCGCGGCCGGGGGCACCTACCACTGCAACATGCAAGCCATGAGCCTGTACGCCGCGGCCGCCGCCGCTGGGGGAGGCGAGCGGGCCGGCCACCTGGCCAGCAGCGGGGCCAGCCCGGTGGAAGACCCCCTGCCCGACTACACCATGCCCAGCAGCAGCAGCGCCTCCTCGCTGAGCCACGGCAGCTTGAGCACGGCGGCCGGCCACCAGGAGGGGCACCACGCGCACCCCGCCGCGCATCAAGGGCGCCTGGCCTCCTGGTACCTAAACCAAGCCACGGCGGCGGGAGACCTGGGCCACTTGGCCAGCGCCGCCGGCTACCCCGGCCAGCAGCAGAACTTCCACGCGGTGCGGGAGATGTTCGAGTCCCAGCGGCTGGGCTTGAATAACTCGCCGGTGAACGGGAATAGCAGCAGCTGTCAGATGGCCTTTCCCTCCGGCCAGTCTCTCTACCGCACCTCAGGGGCTTTCGTGTATGACTGCAGCAAGTTCTGACCAAAACCGGTCCCAGCAGGCCCCCCACCCCACCCCGAACAATACAGAAAAGAGGCCAAACTTCAAGCAAGGACTAGATCTTTTCTTTAACAAACCAAGCCGCCTCCTGCAAGCAGCGAGCGAACTCTCACATAGTTTGTACAGAGACAGCCAAAAAAAAAAAAAAAAATAAGTCATGCCTTGGTTTGTTAAAAGGACAGTGTTACTCCAAATAACACGTAAGTTTTTTTATTGCTTTTGAGAAATACTCTCTCCCTCCCCCATCTCATAAGGTATTATTATGCCCTGTGTTTAAAAGAGGATAAAAATATGCAGTATAGATTACAAGATCCTCCCCACCTCCCCCGAAGGACTTGTTTTAAAATGTAAATTGCGACATAGTAATTTATTTTTAATTTGTAGTTGGATGTTGTGGACCAAACGCCAGAAAGTGTTTCCCCCCTCCCCCCGAAAACGGACATTACAATTGCCTGAAACGTTGATTTCTTTTTCATTACATATAAAAAGGGAAACTGTATTAATCTTATTCTATCGATTTTTTTCTTGAAAATATTCTGAGGTATTGCATTGTTTGTTTATTAATAAATTACCATTCAATTGGAATACCTGACACGTCTGGATACTTTCATACATTTTTTAAAATGAGAGACTTCATGGCTAACGTTGGCGATGGAACAACTCGTTCCCCTCCGCACAAATCCCAGCGACCGCTTAGAAACTGCCAGCTCGGCCTTTTTCTCTCTCTTCTGCAATATGTTCCACTTAGTCAGCTTGCTTTATCCGTTAGGAGAAAAAAATACTTTCCCATGGCAGATGTAACTTGGCAAATAAACGAACACGTTTTCTTAGCACTGATTAGACAGGACCTGGGAAATATTTGACCGTACCTAATAGTATCACAATATTCTATATTTAAAATATGCCTATATTGCTTATAGGGATATCTTAAATACTGTCTCCTATATATGCAATTTTCCCTCTGGGTAGTGTGTGTGTATATATATATATACACACACACATACTTGTATCTAATCGACATAGTACAGATTTTATATAGGAGACATTCTATAATATAGCTCTAAATGTAATGAAAGAATATAAAAGATCTGTGCTCTATAGAACTAATAATTATATATATATACACTAAACAGGTTATGTAATATACATTTTAAAAGTACAGTTTTAATTCTTTGTCTTATAAAATGAAGCCGTTATTTTTTTAAAAAATCTCTTCCCTTCCCTGCCAACCTCAGCCCAAAGCTATGACTTTTTTTTCCTTTTTCTTTTCTTTTTTTAATATAAAGAACGTTGTTGTTTTGTTGGAAATAACTAGCTGCTCTTCTAAATAAAATTATTTTAGGAGGACTTTGTATGGGAGAGTTGTTCTTACGTATTTTTTTCTTTCCCACCCCCATTTCTTTCTTTCTTAACTCAGAAGAAAATACCAGGGTAGATGACTGTTCCAGGGGGTGATGCCTTGTCAGATAAAGAATCTCGCCTTCTGGTCAATTTACAATTAGATCTTAAGGGCATCCAGGATCACCTTCTCCCTTTGTAAATAACTAAGAAAATGTAATAAATTCATTAGCTTAGAATGAGCCGCCCTGTCAGTCAGACTTTGGAAAACGATTATTTGATTACAGATATTTAGGGCCTAAAGTTTGCTTTAGATAATACAGTTTCCAATCAGCCGTTCTTATCTAAAGGCAACACTTAGCAGTAATTGCTGTTGCATTGTTAAAGATTACACTGTAAATAAATACATGGTAATTTCAGTAAAATCTTTTTATGTGGCTTCTGGGTCGCCTCTCCAAAGCAATAATCTAAAATTCAGAAAATGTTATATACAGCTCGAATACACGGTTCGATTTTTTTTCGCATAAAAGTGGTTTGGAATATACTTAATATAAACCTCCTACACGCTTACTCTCCCCCCCCCCCCTTTACTGGCTCTAAATAGCTATTGTGTATATATTTACACAATATCGTTTAGTCGATAAAGATGAAATTGAGATAACAAGGTTTTGTCTGTTGTAAAGCACAGCAACAATCTAATCTCTGTATGCCAATTATTTTTCTCCATCAGAAGCGATACAAAATGTTGCATAGCAAAATTTCTAGGCTTGTTAACTTTATTACTGAGAAAGTGACGCTTACTAATTTTTAGATGGGAGTAGCTTGATGTTTAAGTACCCCCAGGCTTCAAACAGGTGCCGATTCTTTCGTGACATAAATATTTTTATATTTGTAGCCTAGGCTGACCAGACTGAGATCAGTCCCTGGAGGAAGAGATTCTTTGACTTACTTAAAAACGGAGAGATATTTCCACTCTAGCTTTTCAGCTCTTTCTGTTTTAAAAGCAGATCAGAAGTATGGCAGCAGCAGCAACAAAACTGTGTTTACCATGGAGCTGTCTGTATGGTAATTTCTTTGACTTTTTCCATTTAATTAACTTAATTATAGACTGTACCGAGATAATTGCCCGTGCCATTTGTCTGTTAGACTCTGTTGCTTGTGATTGTGATTGTTTTAGTTGGTTAAAACTAGGTTCCAAAGTCTTCAGTTGTTGTCTCAGCGGTCTGCAAAAATAAAATGTTAAGGGGAGGGCGGGAATAAATAGCACAGCAAAGCAGCGTTAGCTTTGATTGTTCAATCACCCGTTGGATTGCGAGCGGGGTTAGTCGGTGGGGGAGTTTGAACAAGCGTAGGATAATTACTCCTACTGTCAAAGCAGCCCAGGGGCTCTAACAGAGACGACCCGCTTGCCCCAGGAGTGGCTAAACACCAATGCCTGGTGAACAGGGCTATGCTCTTTCTCTCACTGTCTCTCTGAAAATTGGCGTTGCTGGCTTCTGTGAGCTGAGCCTGCCTGATCCAGGCTGTTGTTATTAACTATTTACTCATCCATTGCCGCCTTCTTTTGTTGTGAAGACACACGTGGGCTGAGGAGCACAGTCACAGGTGGAGAGATCAGAGACATTTCATTCTTCACGCGTCACAGATAGTTGGACTTTGCCTTGTTGCGTTCCTAGCAGCCTCTCTTCGTTTAAACAGGAAAAAAAAAAACAGAAGCTGATGTTTCAGACGGTTCTGTGCTGCTCCTTTGGGCTGTGTGACCTGATTGTGCATTAGATGTTAGCAAATGAAAACATCTCAATCAGATTATCGGGTATTTCCATTGATTTGTGTGTCCACGCGCGCAGTTGTAATACATACAAGGCGCTGGTGGTGTTACTACAACGCTAAGGCAAATGACTCTCCCTCATTTCGTTTAGGAAGGAAGAGGTGCATTTGCTAGCCACACACTTTTTTTAAACGCAGAAAATGAGAATGTAAATAATATTAGTGGGTGCTTAAAGTCTCCGTGGTAGACAGTGACTCAGAGCAAATTGGCAAAGGTTACCTCAATAGACAGCTAGGTAATATAATTAGGTGCTCTCCTACTGTTGATCAGCTGTTCTGATACAACTTTCAACCTAACATTTAGAATAACGATGGGAGGGAGGCAGAGAAATAAAAAGTTGCTTTTGGCCCGTGATACGTTGCTGCTGATAAAGGCTAAAAGGCTCGGAGACGATTGGGAGTCTTTGTTAGGAAAGTTTTTGGACTCTGGCAAATGTTGACAGAGGTTCTTCTTTGCCGTTTGCTGCGTTTCCCTCCTTGTAGGCAAACATTTTGCCTTTAGGACATAAACTCCCAGCAGTTCAGAGAGGGAGCCCAGCTCAGAACAAGCGATCACCCTTGACGTTCATTCAACCAATAATAGATTCTTTTCCCTCCCCCCTCCCCCCGTGAGAAATAGGAAAAGCAAACCATACATTCTTATTATACACGCTAACCACCCAGTAGCGATCGGTCTGACACCAAGCTCAAGTAGAGATGAGTATCAAACCCTGTAATGAATTTGCAAGGAACTGGATCCAATGAAGCAGATGAAAGATGCATCTATGAACCCCTTGCATCTGTGGTGTTATCCTTCAAACAGAGTGGGCCACATTCTGCACTGACATACATCCCGGGTATCTGCATTAACTTCAGTAGGGTTGAGTAGGTAAATGGTTAGCTCAATGTTTGGGTCAGTATTTTTTAAGTTAAAACTAAATTTGAAAACACTGTTAACTATTTGCTTTTCTCTCGGGGAAAAAAATGTTCTTGTTTTTGGCCCTAGATAATATTGTATTTTAGCTGATTAAATATGATTATTTCCTAATCCATCAGTTAAACGAAGCTAAAATTAATTTCTAATTCCATTAAATAGAAAGGTAAAATGTTCCTTTCCTAGATAATTTCCCTCTTTTATCTTAAAAAAAAATTGTATATTTTTCACATAGAGAAATGGCGCATTTAAATAATTTAAAAGCCTTGTTGAACATATTTACATTTATTTACCCACACATGCCAGGTAAGAATAAAACTAAACTGGCGGGTATATTTTTGTTCAGGATGCAATATATTCGTTAACATTATTTCAAGGCTTTACTGAATACTCACCAAGTTCAGAAAAAATATGTTTCAAAGGAAGCTTGAGAATATTTTTTTCCATATGTGGACTTCAACGTCATAATCTTCGCGTGTTATTAGTAACCCTTGTGGTTTACATTTTATTCAAATCCTTTTTAGTTCCAACAACAATCTCTCTTTTCCTTTGTTCTCTCGTCCCTTCTCTTCCCCCCCCCCCCCCATGCTAAAGCTGAATTAAGCGAACATTCTGTTCATGGAAAGCCACCTCGAGGCTTCAATTATTTTGTGTGTTTCAAGTTACACGTTCTAACATGGGCCCATACTTTGTGGCTAATATTTTTAATGTAACCAGCTACTTAGCATTAGGATATAGAAAAAAGTGTATTGTTCCGGATAACACCTGAACGTTAGTTATGCATTGAATAAGACACTATATGTGTCATGTGTAGGTGTGAGTGAGAACGTGCTTGCATGACTTTTAGAAATACTTGCTCCTATGGCAGTGTATTAAGTCATAGCGTGCCCTCCAGGTTTATCCAGATTTCATTGATTTTTAGAAGGAGGAACTTCTCATTTAAAATTTCCCCATTATTGTAGCTGGTTCATTTTTGTTCTCTTTCAGGTTCATTCGTTACTGTTCAGTCCATTGCTCGTTTTTTAACTTCTTCTTTTTAAGCCGAGTTCATTAATAAAATAAGTGGGTCAAATAAATTTTGCGATTCTTGGTAGGTGCTTGAAGCATATGTTTAAGTGTGTGTGTGCGAGGGAGATGGAACTAGGATATGGCTTTATCAGGGCGGGCGCGAGAAACCTGCTAACCAAGAGCTTTCTATATATGAAAAAGCATAATGCGACCGCTCACCTTTTTCCTGGCTGGAGTAACAGCTGTAGTGGAATAGGACCATTTTCTGTGCTAGCCGAGAATCTTCCTCGATCATTATCTGTGTCTATTCCAAATATCCTCTCCCTCTTGCCGCTTACCCCAGCTCTCTGTGTGTTTGCAGAGGCTCGAGCTCAGGAGTGTTTTAATGTGCTGGCAAATACGCACAAAGGTAGCGCGGTGGTGGGATGAATTTTGTCCCTCCAGTTTTAATTATGATCAGGCTCATAAAGCCATTCTCTTCTTTCCAAAGTCATAAACAAACGTCGCGTTAGGTCGCGATTGATGGTGTCTCGTGCCATAAAAGCCGGCCAGGTCAGGAAGGAATAAAATTCAATCAGAGCTGCGGCATCATTTTTCAGGGGGATGGAAAGACAGAAAAGGAGACGGAGGTCAAGGGAGAGGATGTCACCATTTCACAACACACCGGAGGAGGAGGGAAGCGTTAATGAGCTATTGTTTTTATCAAGTGGAGTCTGATTTAATCAAACAATCGCTAGATGAGTGGGAGAGGGGTGGAAGCCTAGGCGGGCGAGTTTTAAATCCCAGCTCTTTGGGTATTAGCACCTCTGAGCCCATTCTTACCCATCTTTACTCGGGTGGTTCCTTTATTCAGTGGGGGCTAAAAGGGTGAGGGAAGTGTTGTAGGAGCATGCAACTCTCTAGTACAGGAAAGTCGGGCTGTGTTAAAAGTGTATTAATCGAGTGTTCCTGGGGAAAATAAGTCCTAATGAACCGAACCCTGACAATTTGTGGGGTCAGAAGACAGGATCAGGGGCTTATCAGGAATCGGTGAAGAACAGTTTAGTGATTATTTTTCTCCTTTGTATCAATCTTATAATTTATGTTTTAAAATGGCTCACTGGACAAAACAAAACCCTACACAAATCATCATGTGAGTGTTAAGATCTCTTGACTTGCTGGTGGAGACACTGCTCGGTTTTTGTTTTGTTTAAAACAAAACCTGCCTCCCACCATTGTTTTCCTTTAACCATTAACATAATTTTGTATGAGCTGTCCTGGTTTTAGCATGGGTGAGTTGTGCTAGGTTCCGATTTAATATTTGCTTGATCCTTTTGACAAAGGCTGTTTGAGCTGCTGGGCCGAGTTTTCTTTCAGTGTCATGCTAGTGTAAACGAAAAGCAGAATTCGGCGCAACCGATTAGAAATAATGGGGAGGAGGGCTAGATGAGGGAGAGGTTTAAGGGGATATATTGCACAGCCCCGCAGGCGTCACCAAGTTCAGCACACCCAATCTATGAAAAATGAGTAGAGGACTAACAAACGAGCTGACGGTCCAGTTGTGGGTTGGTTTTTGTTTGTTTGTTTGTTTGTTTTGTCGTCTTGTTGTTGTTGTTTTATCTAAGAAAGATTGAAACGACAAAGGTTAGAAAAGCGATTAGGGGTGTAAAATTGAAGAAAATGGAGCATATCCGCCTTACTGAAAACAAAAAGCCATGCACGAAGCATTCTTTCTTTTGTTACATTTATTTCCAGACATTCTATTAGTTGCTAGGAGGAGACCTTCTGTTTTGTATTATATATTATATATAATGTGTTTACTTGACTTTTCCCCCCGACTGACTTTAAATTTGCTGGCATATTGAGCATATTATGGGAGACTGAGGGCAACTGGAATTCTAAATGTCTGTGTAGTGTGCTCGGGTGAGTGCTTACGCACCGATGCCCATACACATAAGTCCAGGCCGTCGGTATGTGTCTCCCACAGCTTCATCCCAGGGTTTTGGGAGTGAGACACTGCTATTCCAACCCAGGGAGACTAGTTCCAATGCCTGCTTTATTAACTGTAACAATGACTACAAAAATCAGTTTGTCCCCGCCAGCAAGGCGAGATCTCCAGCTCATTTTCCTCTGGACTGAAAGCGGATTAACTATGCCGAACACACTTATTGCTGCTGAGACAAGACCCGAATTCCCCTGTTCCGTGGGCGGCCCGCACGCCTGTTTAAAGCTTCCTAGAGCTGCAGCTAATCTGCAATGTTGCAGAGAAAACGCAGCCCAGACAGGGCCCAGGCACACGCTCAATGCGTATCCCTTTCTCTGAACCCCAGCTCATCGCTGCGGGGATCTCCTTGTGCAGCAGCCCTCTCTGGATTTTCCTACATCCTGACTGGTGTTTTTCCCGGAGAGTAGTGGGGAGAACAGGAAGAAAATGGTGCCTGTTTACTCTCTGCCTTCTTCCCAAATCAGACATGCAGGGCTCTTTATTTTGCAACTTGTCTTCTTTAGTTTTGTGCAAAAGAACAAATGCATGTCCCAGCCACTTCTGCCTGCAAAGGCCAGGGCTTGTAGGTCGCCGGCTGGATGGGAATTGGGTGGTCGGCAATTTTTTTGCCCCCTAAATAAACACAGCTTGAATCGACTTGGGTGGGCAGAAGGGAACAATTTGTGAGCCAGGGAGCGAGCTCTGGGCAGGCAGTTGGCCCGAGACTTACCTGCTGGAGACTTTCACCTGACCTTTAGCTGTCAAGGGGCTGCTCAATATATTACCCTGAGTTCAGCTCAACTTTCTTTAGACTGATTTCAGCAACAAATTTTGGAAAAAAAAAAAAGAACAGAATCCCTTCCCCCTTTACCTCTGGGGAAAGAGAGCAGGAAAACCAACACATTTAGAGCCATTAACTCTGAAAATAGCTGCATTTCCTGGAGTATAAAAGAAATACAAATTATTGAGCTCATGATTGTGTGCAGGATATTATTACACGTATAATATATGAATATACAGGGCACATCACTAAAAATGCATGTCTGTAAAAACACAAGCATTCGCTTTAAAACAAATACCAGCGCAATCCCCCCATCTCCCCAAGCTTCTTGGAATTTATTTAGTTGCCAGAACATCTCTAAGATGCGGAGTGTATTTTTTTAAAATAAATATTTGAAATAAGGAGAAATGTTTTTTTTCATAGCACGATAATGTAAAAATACTGATATTATCCAAAGCAGAAGCGAATTGTTTAAATAATGTCGGTGCATGCAAGATTGCCTAGTATAAATACGTTCACACCGAGTTTAGGTTTTGATGTAAGTTCTGCTCGAGATTTTTCTGAGTAGGTGAAACAGGGCTGCAGCTGCAGGATCGTGGAGGGACATTCCCCCCCCTCTTCTTCTGAATAGTGTTGCTCGTTTATGAAATGGAAACACTAGTAATACAGGACTGTAGTACAGGATAACAGCCACCGGGATAGAAAAAAGCAAGCGCCCTATTATTTTTTAGTAAAGCATTGACCACAGTTTTCCTCGTAACATATAATTATTAAAATACTCACAACCAACAATTCTAAAACATTGTCCCTATAATGGAAATTATATATTTTTTTAAATTGCAAAAATATACAACTTTCTCCCAACAGCCGCCTACAGCCCAAGTAACCAGTGGAGGGAAGTGACACTATTTAAGTAGAAAGCTTGCAAGCAGATTTGACTCTTTAGGCTGCCTCTCTGTCCTCTCTAGCTTTCTTTCCCACCCTCTACCCCCAATAATTGCGAGGTATTGATGGTTTTCTTACACCCGACAAAACGTTGGAGCGTTGCCTGCTGTAATGATCCTTTCTGGGCTTGTTGTGTCTGGAGACAATGCTCCGCCAATGAAATGTCAGAGGTGAAGGGGGGTCACAGGGAGGCAGTAAACTCAGTCTTTCACCTAGCGGGCCAGTAGTTCTGTTGCTGCCGAAGGGCAATAGTAAACGTGCCGAGGGCCAGAGATCTTTCCTTCACTGCCTTAAGTCTCTGGCACCCACGCCTTTCTTCTTTCCCAGAGGTGGGTGGTGGGGGAATCGCCCGTTTTCTAGGCCCCGCAGACGAAGTGACAAGCCAAAAGGATGAGCCAGAACCTGCTCCTGTCTCCACCAGAAAAGCGTCGTCTTTATTTTCACGGGAACACGAGGGGACTCCAGTCTCTAAGGTCGATTTTTTTTTTTAAATCTCACACTTTAAAAAATCGATCCGTCTCACCCTTCAGTCATGGCTGCCTTCAGCATCGTTTCTAATCACCTATTAGTTTCGC